GAGGGTGAGATCCGGAGTGGGATGTCCGATGGGCGGGCGCGCCACGCGCGCAGAGCGCGCGAGCGCAACGTGCGAGTGGCATCGCCCACGCGCTCCAGGGATCAGGCCGCGCGCCGATGCCCTCGCAGCGCTCCTATCTACTGGGGGTGCTCTTACGCCGCGAGGAGAAGGAACGCGATGGCCCTGCGCGCGCCAACGAGTTAAGGATGCGTAGGTTCGCGGACTCTCGCACGCGGCCGTGCCCGCGCGCCGGCCAACGCACGCGAGCGCCAGCGCGACCTGGAGGGCCGCGCCGCTCCAGCGACCAGCAGTCTCAGCTACCTGGCGGAGTGGGCCAGGGGGCAGCCGACGAATTTGTTCTGCTACCTGCGCCCGCGTGTACACTTGAGGCCTGCTCATCGTCTAGCGCTGGGGCACAGGGTAGCGGTTCTGGCGACTGTGTTGCTAGACCGCAGAGTCGCGGCTTCGGCGATTGCGTTGCCAGAGTAGAGTTACCAGCCAGCCCAGTGGCAGGCGCGAGCCAATGTTGACGGCGCGACGAGCTGCCGACGCAGTCGTTGGTCACCCAACGCCAACCGTCTGGATTCACTTCGACGTCACCGCGCCGTTGCGATAATTGCGCGGGGACTCGCATGAACCGCGCATGCGATAGCTGCGCAAGCTGCGCCCTCGGCGGCGGCGCGCCACCACGGATGAGATTGCACGAGCACTGTGGGGAACTAGTATTCCCCAAGACATCCTCGACCCCACCCCCCCCCGCCCCCCCCGCCCCGCCCCCCCCCGCCCCCGCCCCGCCCCGCAGTTTTCAACGATTGCAGGGGGCGTCGTAAGGGGCGGCCACCAGCGCGCCAGACCAGCCCAACACCCGGCGCGATTCAATCAGCACGTCGAGTGCGACATATTTCATCTTAAGGGCCCCATGATCGCGCACCTTATCTGCCGTGCCTCGCGGCGGCAGAGCGGCAAGGATATCGACTCGCAGCGCGACTCGACGCTGCTTGCCACCATCGACCTTTCGTGGATCCAGCTGTTCGGTGCGATGGAGACGTTAATGGAGGAGATGATGGGACCAGGTGCCCAGACGGATGCCAGATCGCCGCGGCAGCACGCTCGCTTCATCGAACGACGCGAGGCTATATTACGAAGTGCACTGCGCGCCACGCAGGAGCAGTTTCAGCGCTCTTCGTAGGAAACAGCCTCACCAACGTTGGTTGCGCTACTCCGTGCCACGTCGTCTACGGAACGCAGCCACCCACGCCGCCGCCGCTCGACGCAGGCGGAGCGGGCGAGGTGCCCATGGCCAATGGCGCTGGCGCCGGCCCATCTGCTGGCGGGGGAGAGCAGCCCGGCCGACCGCAGTGGCGAACCCGCGAGATAGCATTGCAGCGCGCGATCGAGGCCGCGCCCATCTCGCGCGTCAGCCGCGCCTTGCGGACACGCGCCGCGGAGTCCGGAGAGGGCTGCTTCAACGTTGGCGACGAGGTCGAGAAACGCGGGCCCCCGAGCGCCAGGCTGGGCGGACACTCTGACCGTCATGTCCGTCGACCCGGCTCGAGCCGAGGTGGCGGCCAAGTGCCGCCGTGCCGACGTGGTTTGCAGATTGCAGGGCGCCTGGCCTTTCACTTGTGCCGTCATCGACGTCTTAGGTGCTGGTTTTGCTCGCGCTGGCCCGGCCTGGAGTCGAGTGGGGGATCATTTCTTGGAGCGCATCGCACCAGGGCCCCGCGCCCGGTCCTTCGGCCGCTGGTGTGCAGATCACCGCGCAGACGCGACGACGCCCAGACATCCTCGAAGCTCAGCGCCGCGTATCCCGCATGTGTTTTCAGCTGCCAGACGTTCGTGCAATGCGCGGCGGCTGGCTGGGCTGCACCCGCAGCTTACTCGTCTAGCAGTTCCCTCAGGGCCCAGGCGATATTCGACAGAGTCACCTCGCATGAGCTTGGTGCGACGCGCATGGGCTCATCGGCGAGCAGTGGAAATAAGCTCGCACCATCCAGTTCATCAAGGGTGACGAGACGCTTATGGCAGCAGACGCGGGACAATATCCAGATGGAGCGCTCGATGACTATGTCGCCAACGTTCCAGAAGGCGCTGCCGGCGCCGCCTGATGGGGGGACCCCGTCAGCCTTGCCAGCTATACCAGAAAAAAAAAACAGCAGGGAGCTTTCTGGCCACATGCAGCAGGTGACGTTAGCAGTTTGGCGCGAAGTCGAAGGGGCAGAGGACCTGACCCAGGAGCTGGAGAGGCTGGAGAGCGACGACATCCAGCAGATGGTCCACGTTGCCGTCGAGCACGCCGCGGCCAGACTCGGTCTCTGGCCACGCGAGTGGCCGCCGCGTTTTGAGACGCAGCGCCAGCGCCAGGGCATCTGCGAGCAGTGCCACCACGACCTGCGCGGCGCCGCCCTCAGTCGATCATGCCACGCTGGAGGAGGAGCACGACGGAGCAATACTTGCGGAGTTGTACCTTGACCCAGGGGCGCGCAAAGCATTCCTGAGCTTCAATGAAGATCGTCCAGCAGCCATGTTGCCAGCGATTCCTGGGCGGCCGCGCTTGACGCGAGTGCCTGCGCCCAGTCCGCGGCCATCGAGCGCGACGCCGACTGCCTGGCCAGCGAGGCAGCGTCGAGGCCGTCAAAGGATGCGGCAGCAGCCATCCTCGAGGACCTTACCATAAAGGGCAAGTGCCAGTTGCTTCGAGAGGCGACCGCTCATGGGCGCCCGAGACGCCGCGGGCTCCAGGCGAGTCATCGAGCGGGGGCACTGGAAGGGGCCCGAGACGGCAAGACCAGGAGGATCACCCGGCGCCGAGCGGCGTTCACAGGCTTCCGCGACATGGGCGCCGGAGCCTTGGATGCGTTCGCGGGGCAGCAAGGCGCGCGTCGCGACGCATGCTGCCTTCGGAGGCAGCGCGTTGCCCAGGCAGGGTCTACGACGCCGCGGACGCCGAGATGGCCTCGCCCCAGCAGGCCATGGCCTACGCCGAGATGCTAGAGTGGGGCGAAGCACCTCGCGAGGTGAACTTCGCCCTGCCGCCTGGCTGCGCACCCATCTTCACGCAGGTGATTGGTCTCGAGTCTGTCGACGAGCGGGCCGAGAGCATGCGCCCCGCAAAGCCGGGCGCGGGCTGCAAGGGCGCGCCCCGAGCCTGCTCCGCGAAGCTCGCCCGGGTCACGCGCTCACTGGAGTGCGAGTGCAATCCTGTTCACTGGGGCTTGCGGTGACTGCGTCGCCAATGACTCGAGGCTTGCGCTCATGCTGTCATCGCGCGTCGACGATCTGAAGATCGCTGGACAAAGAGCGCGTCGACCAGATTATCGGCCACGTTGAGCGTCTTCGGCTACGTGAAGGGCGGCTGCAACGACTCCACCGACTGCGGGGCGCGCCGGCGCCGCGGCGCCGACGGCGCAGCGACGCTCGACCAGGGCGAGCATTTCGAAGCCCTGACCGGACAGGCCGACCAGCCGGCCGGAGGTCAACATCCAAACGTTTTCGTTTCTTTGCCAGGGGCCTCAGCGCGCGCCCTGCTCGCCTGGCGCTGCGTCGCCGCGTGCGTCGCGGCATTGACGAGGTCGAAGAACGAGCTGCCTTTGCGCCGCGTTGCGCAGCTCAACCCAGTTGTCTCGGCCACGCGCAAGATTTAATGCGCGCGCCATCTTTTTTGCCGTGCGATGCGCGGGCCAGCTCCGCGCGCGCAGCGAAGGTTTCTTCGCGCGGGGGGAGGGGGCCCGATGCGGCATGAGAGGGCCGTGCACACGCGCCTGGGCAAGCGCCGCACTGCCGGCAGGGAGGCGTGCCACTTGCTCGACGTTGTGAGCCGCTCGCGCAAATTAGTGCGCATGTCTTCGTCGGCTCTGAGCTGCTCGCGGCCCGCGGATCAGCAGGTGGACCGCAAGCCCATCGCCTGATGCTCCACGAGATGTTCCGTGGACCCGCCTCAGCTGACGAGGGCAGGGAGCTGAGAGTGGAGGGGGGCTACGCTGCGCCTGCTACCCTCGTCGTGGACGGCCTGTCCGTCTTCGCGGCACTGGTCGTGGGCCTTGTTCGACCGCCTTCGGATAACGGCATGGCCGGCTACTTGCGGGTGCTATCCGGTCCACGTCGCTCCAAGTCGATATTGGACATGCTCTTGTGCGATGCGCGAGACACGATGGCCGACCCCACGGCGAAGGGGGGCGCGGCCGCGAATTATATTTCGACATCGGGAACGGGAAGCTTAGCTGGGACCACGGCGCCATCAAGCGGAACGACAGGGTGCACAAGAAGGACGTGCCCAGTTCCCGCCACAGTAGTCTCACCACTGCCATGGGCGACCCGAAAAGACCAAGACAATTGCTCGTCCAACATCACGGGCAACGGTATCCTGGGCTTGCATGACATGGCCATGCCATCGCAATTCACGGCTGGAGCGGCGGCACAGAAGGATGCACAAGCTCGCATCTCGCCAACATGCTTCGCACATGCGACATAGCAGAGTGCGCGCGTGAGTGGTTTGCTTCACGGGCTACGTCCGTGTAACAGCATGCGGAATGACAGTTGACCACGCACGTGACTGAAGTTTGTTCCATCTGCATGTCTGCTGCCAACCATTTTATATCATGTTTCGTTGGTAGGCACGTGGCATTCACGCGTTAGCCGACGATGCTCGCCAAACTCGCTTGAAAACCAAACTCGGTCGGCAGGTCAGCTATAATTCGCCTTGTTGCCTGCCTGCCCTGCCGCCGCTGCTTGTGGCCCATAGGGTGGCCACCCATCGTGTCCGCTGTAGACGCGTGTCCTGCAATTTTACTGTTCAATGCTCGCAATAACATCCGGTTTCATCTCCCGTGTCGTTTCTTACCATTCACGCCCTCCTCCTCCGCCTCCTCCTCGTCCGCCTAGTCCTCCTCTGCCTTTTCGTGTTCCTCTTAAAATTGTTCGGGGTGGAAAAATCGATCCGGGGCCGGGACCCACGGAGTCCAGGACCCCGTGTCCTTCAGGATCCGATGCCTCCCTGTCAGGAGGAGTGTTCCCGTGGCCCCAACGGGCCCCTCCCCGCCGACGCCGCGGACGCGCCGAAGGCGCAGTCCCCGGCCGAGGCGGCAGAGGGCGCGGCCGTCAGCGCGCCGCTCAGCGGCGCCCGCAGCGGCGGCGAGGCCGATGAGGGGCTCTCGAGCCCCAGCCGGCCTCTTGTTGCTGGCGCCGCGGGCGCGCCTGAGCCGCCACCCCGAAGTCCGGCGGCCGAGGCGGTCAAGGTTTTCGGCGACTACAAAGGGTGTGGTTACGCCAGGGTACGGTTTGCGATCTGCGTCGTTGGGGCTTTGGGGGGCACCACGGTGCCCTCGTCGGGCCTCTCCAGGGAGCGGCGGGGAAATCAGTCGAGGTCCCCGCCCGTCTCCCAGGGTACGGGATGCAAACCACACCCTTTGCAGACCACACACTACGGAGTCGCCGACAAGGGGCTGAACCCGAAGGGCCTAGCCGCCAGGAATCTGCTGAACGGCATCCGCAGCGGCCAGGTCAGCGAGATTATCGACGCCGCGGAGGCCGAGGAGGCCCCTTCTGGGCACCAAGCGGCTACTCCCACCCCTCAGTATCGTCCTTTTTTGGCCTGCTCTATGCTCCTGTTTCGTCGTCTGCAGCCTCCCTGCTCCGCCCACCCCCCCTCTCCCATTTTCCCGTTTCCCGCTCTGGCGGCCTGCCCGCCCCGCCCCCCGCCCACGTGAGCTAGAATGCCCCCACATTGGCCCAGCGTGATCCAAACGTGGTCCAGGCGTGGTCCAAACGGGGTCCAAGCGTGGTCCGAGCGGGGTCCAAACGTTGTCCAGACGTCCCTCGCCCGCCTGTTTCCCCCATCTGCCCCCCCCTCCCACCACCACCACCCCCTCCCCCCAACCCGTCCCCTCCGCCACCCTCCGTCCCCCTGTGCCTCTCCCCTGTCCTCCCAGCAAGGCCCACAGCGCCGAGGCCGGCGATGCCGGGCGGGCGCCCCGCACGAGCTCCGAGGAGGAGGAGGAGAACATCGTGCCGGAGGGTCTGCTGCAGGCAGCGGGCGTGGAGGGGGGGAGGGCGGACGGCAACGGGGGGCCAATAAACGTGTGGGGGGGTCGGATTGGAGGAAAGTGGCCCTCAAGGAGCTAGCCCTAAGTAGCCCCTAAGGTGCCACCGCGGGCCCAACAGGTGAGCGAAAGGTGGAATGTCAGCTACTGCTCAACAAAAGACCGCCCCCCCTCCCAAGGCTGATGCAAAGACCCCGCGGAACGCGACACGAATTTTTCATCACGCGCGCGGAGGGGTCGTCGCGGGCACCGCCGAGAGGATCGTGCACCCCACTGCGCGGCAGCCACAAAACGAGTGGCATTCGTATAGAAAGTGTATTCGGGATCGTATCCATACGAGGCGAAGTTGTGCCCCTTCCCCGGCTGACTGCTCATGTGCCGCGGTCGTCGTCGTCGTCGTCGTCGTCGCGGTCGTGTGCGACACCAACCCACACCCACCCACCCACCATGGGGCATCCCCAGCGCGACGTCGTCCGTCGTCGTCGCCGTCGTTATCGACTACAGCCGGCCTGCGCAGCACACACACACACACACACACCCACACACACACAGATACACCATTGGCCACCCGCAGTACGTCGTCGTCGGCGGCTGCAGCGGGCTTGCGCAGCACCCCTCTCTTCCCCCCCTTTCCATAGGGCATTCGCAGTGCGTCGTTGTTGTCGTCGTCGTCGACTGGCCTACGCCGCACCCCCATCCCATAGTGCATCCGCACTACGTCGTCGTCGTCGCCGTCGTCTGTCGCCGCCGTTGTCGTCGACTACAGTGGGCCTACGCACCTCCCCCTGGAGCAGCAGCAGTGCGTCAACGTCGTCGTCCGTTGTCATCGCTGTCGTCGCCGTGCGTCGTCCGTCGTCGTCGTCGTCGTCGTCGTCGTCATTGTCGTCGTCGTCCGTCCGTCGTCGCCGTTGACCGTCGTCCATTGTCATCGTCCGTGTTCCGTCGTTCCGTCGTCCATCGATCCGCCGTCCCGTCGTCCGTCGCCCGTCAGCCGTTGTCGTCGTCCCTCGTCCTCGCCGTCGTCATCCGACGTCGTCGTGGTCGTTTTTCGTCCGTCGTCGGTCCTCGTCCGTCGTCAGTCGTCCGTCGCTGTCGTCCGTCGTCAACGTCGCCACCGGCGTCAATGTCGTCGTCGTCGTCGTCCGTCGTCCGTCGTCCGTCGTCGTCGTCGTCCATCGGCTGTCATACGTCGTCCGTCGTTGTGGTCGTCGTCGTCCGTGGTCCGTCGTCCGCCGTCGTCGTCGTCCGCCGTCCGTCGTCAGTCGTTCGTCGTCGTCGTCCGTCGTCAACGTCGCCACCGGCGTCAATGTCGTCGTGGTCGTCGTCGTCGTCGTCCGTCGTCCGTCGTCCGTCGTCGTCGTCGTCCATCGGCCGTCGTCCGTCGTCCGTCGTTGTGGTCGTCGTCGTGGTCGTCGTCCGTCGTCGTCGTCGTCGTCGTCGTCGTCGTTGTCTTTGTGGTGGTGGTGTCGTGGTCGTGGTCGTCGTTGTCGTCGCCGTCGTCGTCCGTCGTCCGTCGTCCGTGGTCCGTCGTCCGTCGTCGTCGTCGTTCGCCGTCCGTCGACCGTCGTCCGTTGTCGTTGTCCGTCGTCGTCGTCTGACGGCGTCGTCCGTCGTCGTCTTCGTCGTCATCGTCGTCTTCGTCGTCGTTCGTCGGCCGTCGTCCGTCGTCCGTCCGTTGTCCGTCGTCGTCCGTCGTTTGTCGTCCGTCGCTGTCGTGGCCGTCGTCTGGTTTCCGCCGTCGTCGTTGTAGTCGTCGTCGTCGTTGTCGTCTGTGTCGACCTTCGTCCATCGTCCAACGTCGTCGTCCGTCGTCGTTTGCGTCGTCCGTCGTCGTCCATCGTCGTCGTCGTTTTCGTCGTCGTCGTCGTCGTCCGTCGTCGTTGTGGTCGTCGCCGTCCTTCGTCCGTCGTTGCCTTCGCCGTCGTCGTCCGCCGTCCGTCGTCCGTCCTCCGTAGTCCGTTGATCGTCGTTCTTCGTCCGTCGTAGTCGTCGTCGTCGTGGTCGTCCGTCTGCCGTCGTCATCTTCGTCGTCCGTCGTCCGTCGTTGTCGTCCGTCGTCGTCATCGTCATCGTCGTCGTCCGTTGTCGTCGTCATCCGTCGTCCGTCTTCCGTCGTCCGTCGGTCGATGTCGTCGTGGTCGTCCATCGACCGTCGTGCGTCGTCCGTCGTCGTCGTCGTCGTCGTCCGTCGCCAGTCGTCGTCGTCCCTTTGGTGTCGTAGTCGTCGTCGTCGTCGTCGTCACCGTCGTCGTCGTCCGTCGTCCGTCGTCGCCGCCGTCGTCGTCGTCTGTCATTTGTTGTCGTCGTCGTCACCCCTCGTCGGTCGTCGCTCGTCGTCGTCGTTGATGCTGTCGTCGCCTGTCGTCCGGTGTCGTCGCCGTCTTCGTTGTCGTCGTCGTCTTTCGTCCGTCGCCTTAGTCGTGGTCGTCCGTCGTCCGTCCTCCCCTGTTCGTCGTCGCCGTCCGTCGTCGTCATCGTCGTCGTCCGTCGTCCGTCGTTCGTTGTCCGTCGTTGTCGTCGTCCGTTGCCGTCGCTGTCGCCGTCGCCGTCGCCGTCGTCGTCGTCTGTCGTCCTTCGTCCTTCGTCCGTCGTCGTCGTCCGTCGTCGTTGTCGTCCGTCGTCGTCGTCGTCGTCAATCGGCCGACGGCCGTTCTCCTCGTTGTCCGGCGTCCGCTCGCCATTGTTCTCGTCACCGTCCTCGCTGTCGACCGTCGTCAGTGGTGGTCGGACCGTCGTCCGTCGTCCGTCGTGCGTCGTCTGGTCTCCGTCGTCGTGGTCGTCGTCGTCGTCGCCGTCGTCCGTCGTCGGTCGTCCGTCGTCCGTCGTCGTCGTCCGTTGTCATCTCCGTCGTTGTCGTCGTCGTCGTGGTCGTTGTCCGTCGTCTTCCGTCGCCATCGTCCTCCGTCGTCGTCGTCGTCGTCGTCGTCGTCGTCGTCGTCGTCGTCGTCGTCCGTCGTCCTCTTCCGTCGTCCGTGGTCGGTCGTCCGTCGTCGTCGCCGTCGTCGTCGTCGTCGTCCCCGTCGTCGTCCCCTTCGTCGGGCGTCCGTCGTCCGTCGTCCGTCGTCGTAGTCGTCCGTCGTCCGTCGTCGTCGTCGTCGTTGCCATCTTCGTCCACGGCGGTCATGCGCATCACCCCCCTTTTCCCAGGGGGTTCATCCGCACCGCGCGCGCGCGTCTTTGGTCGTCCCGTCGTCGGCCCTGTCACCATCGTCGTCGTGACTGCAGCGGTTTCACGCAACGCCCCCCCTCCCGAAAGGACATTGCAGTAGAGGTGGGGGGAGGGGGGGTGTAAGCAGAAGGAGAAGCCGTTGCCGCCTGCCTCTGCCGCTCCTCCCCCCTCCTCCCGTTGTTTCCATGTCGGAACCACCCGCCCGCCGTGAGGCGCCTCTTCTCCCGCCTCCTCCTCCTCCTCTCCTGTTTGTAGCGATTTTGCCCCAACCGCCACGTTGTAGCAGAGACGCTGCGGTCCCCCCGCGAAGCGGCGCCGCTCGCGTCGCACCGGTCGCCCTCCAGCTGTCGGCCGGGTGTCGGCGCTAATCACGGGCTGGCGTGTTTTGTTGTTTTGGCGCGCCTGGCTGGCTTGATTTTGTTGTTCACAAGCTGACATCACGCGTCTTCACGCTCAAACGCATCATGGGAGGAAGGAAGGAGGAGGGAGAGATGAGGGAGGAGCACGGAGGGGATGATAAGATGGAGGGGGAAACAAGGAAGGAGGGAGGGAGAGAGGGAGGGATGGAGGGAGGGGGACAATATTTGGGGGAAGAGGGGGGCACGGGGGAAGAGGGAGGAACGGGGGGCGATGGAGGGACGGGAGAGCGAGGAGGAAGGGGGCAAGGTTGGAGGAAGGTGGATCGAGGAGGGGAAAAAAGTGGAAAGGGCAGGAGGACGAGGGAGGGGCCCAGGCCCTCGCTTCCTCCGCTCGCGAGGCGCCCGCGGAGATCGCGGCCTCGGAGGTTGAGGCGGCGTCCTCTGGGGCGGCGAGTGCGGTGGCGGCGGACGACCCCAGCCCCCCAGAGGAGGCGGAAGGCCCGCGCGGACGCGGGGAGCATCGGGGGGCCCAGGATCGAGGGGGAGGAGCGGGGGAGGAGGAGGAGGAAGAGGAGGAGGAGGAGGAGGAGGAGGGGGAGGAGGAGGAGGAGGAGGGAGAGGAGGATAGGGAGTATATTCCGGGAAATTTCGGTGACGCTCGCCGAGATGAATCGCAAAACGAACGAGCGATAAGGTGCTGGCTCCGCGACACCAATTTTCTCACACGCGCGGCCGCTGCCCCTTACGCGCGCACATGTCATTACGGGGTTTGCGGCGAACCCTGGGGCTGTTGTCAGGAATTTTCCCATCATTGCTGCCGTTGGGTTCCACTTCGCCTTCCACGGCCCGCGCTCTCGCGCCTTCGCCCCAGGGGTCACTGGATTTTGATCGACGAGCTCCGAAATAGGGCGCAAGCAGCACATAAAAGTGCATCCCTTTTCATACCCGAATAAGTGTGTCAAGGACCCGAATACGCTCCAGTCCTGCATCGCGGCGGTGATGGTATGGGGTTCCGTATTTGCCTCCTCAGGCCCCTGCGCCTTATCGCACGCTATGGTCTCGTGCTGTTTACGGCAGTTGATGATGTTGGGTTCCTGCTTCGCCCTTTCCAGCGGCCAGTGCGACTTTTCAAACGCGCCCTTCACGCGCATTGCGCTAACGCTGATGACATGCGGAGGCAGGGACTCCGGGGGAAACATGTCCCCGGAAGCCTCTCCGGGAACCTGATTATGATGTCCTGATTGTCGTCGACGTCGAAGGTGGGCTCCGTCTTCGCTCCCTCCAGCGACGACCGCACCGCAAGACCGCCGATGTGGTCGGGTTCCTTCTTCGCCCTCATCGGCCACTGCGCATTCTCGCACGCGCTTTCCGCGGGTTTGGCATTGCACTTGATGATGTTGGGGTCCATCTTTGCCCCCTCCGTCGTTCTCCGCACCTTCTCGCGCTCTCTGGTCGCGGGCTCTGCACTCTAGCTGGTGGGTCGGGGCTCTTGCTTCGCCTTCTCCATCGGCCTCTGCGCCTTCGCGCGCCCTGTTCCCATGGTTCGCGCGGTAGCTGAGTTGCCCCAATTGCGTGTTCAATACCTCCAGCTGTTTGTTGAGTCCCCCTTCAGCGAAAATCCCTTGCGTTCTCGCACGCGCTCCCTGCACTGCAGCTGATGGCGTTGGGCTCTAACTTTGACTTCGGTTGCCACTGCGATTCCTTCTCGCACGCTTGCTTGGCATTGTCAGGACTACAGATGAAATGTAGTTTTTTCTTTGCCTCCAGTGGCCACTGCACCTTCTCGCGCGCACAGTCTGTAGGCTCCACATGGCAGTTGCTAACGTTGGATTCGTTGTTCGCCTCCGCCAGCGGCCAGTGCGCCTTCTCGCACGCGCGGTTTGCAGCTTCCGCAGGGAAACTGATGACGTCGGGCTCTTTCTTCGTCTCCACCAGCGGCCAATGCGCCGCGGGCTCAGCACGGCAGCTGCTGAGGGCGTGTTCCGCGTTTTGTTCGGAGCTCCCACTGGACCCTGGGTGTTGGGTCCTCGTTGCAATTTTTGAGCCCTCCTCCGCAGCCTTTGGCTTAGGTGTGCACGTGTGCACTTTCAGTCGCTCGCCCGCTGGCCAAGCAGAGCAGGCTTCCCCACCACGTTCCGCAATCGTTCGATCTCCATATGTCCGTCATTCGTTGACAGTGGTAAGCGGAACGATGCTGGGGGGCGCTGAGGGCGGCCATCGGCCTTGGCGAGGGTAACGGCTCGGGTGCTGCTAGCTCACATGGAGAAGAGGATTGGGACAAGATAGGGCCACGACGACGACCGAAGGGGATCACGCAGTTCAGGGCTCCGAGGGCAAGCCCGAGCAGAATGTCGCGTCTGCCCGGTTACGAGACGCAGAGCCGCTGGACCCGTGGCAGCGAGATGCTTGGTGGCGATCTTGGAAGACGTGGAACGACTCTGGCGACAGAGACTGCGAATGGAAGACCGCGGACTGGCAGGACAGCTGGTGCGACTGGACACCGACGTCGGCGTGGCTGTCCCAAGACCACATCCCGAATCGCGACTTCGGGGCTCCACCCGCGTGGCTTGGCTTCGAGCATCTGGGTGCCCACCGAGAACATGCGCAGGATTAGACGAAGCGCGCGGGGTTCAATGCAGAGACTCAGGCGGGGCGCATCTTCGAAGGTTAACCAGTCGACTTGCAGATCAAGTTCGAGACGGCGCGACAAGGATTGGATGAAGCAGAGGGCGCCCAGAAATTACGGACACATCTCGCAATGCTGAACGGCGAGCGGCCAGAAGATGAAGAGCGATTGGCTCAGAGCGGCGCGCCATTTGACTACGCGGTTCGGAAGGTTTCGACATTGGCCGGGCATGTTATGAGAGGGGACTCAGTTCCTTGAGGCCGAGCGGTGCAGTCGATCACTGCCCGACAGCGCGAAGGCTCGCTTCTGGTTGGAGGGCGCTTCCACCTCGGCCTAGAATCGCATCGATCGGCGGGCGCTCGCTGGAGGCGAGGTCGACAGTGCGTCAATGCGGGCGGCCCTCCTGGAGACGGGCGCGAAGGATCAACCGATTTTGCCAGCCTCGCATGTTCCAGCGCAGAAAACGCTTCAAGCGGAAGTCGCCGAAGGAGTGCCGGACCTTGCCGAACCTTGGAGGCCAGAGACGGCGTGTTCAGGGCGGGCGAGATCCCCGACATTTTCTCGACGGTCCCGACCGATGATGCCGCGGAGTTGCCCGAGGATGACGCGGGCGCCTTCCCTGCGACGCTCGGCGAGCGGGACCTCAGCGAGAACGAGGCGCCGATGATCTCCGCGGCTGCGGTCGAGGATCGCCCGGGCAAAGATCGCAGGAGAACGCGGCAGGAGGCGCGCCGCATGAGGGCGGCCAAGAAGGCGGTCGGTGACTTCTTCGATCGGCGACGGGTTGCGAGCCTGGGTTCAGGATGCTCGCGATGACGGACAACGTGGGCACGGGGCAAGGAGGGGGGGGGGGGGGTCGCAATTTCTTCTTGCTGGCGGTGGCCGAGGACGAGGACTTCAGCGGCGCTGCAGCGATCGAGGTCGATGTCCGTGGCAGCGACGAGTTTTGCGCGATCTCGGTGGAGGATTGGAACTTGTTGCTGAAGACCTTCGCGGGGGACGCAGAGCGCCCAGAGTTATCTCCACGGCAGATGGGGGGCCGCGCGCTGGCGGGCGCAGCGGCCGCGCGGGCCCGCGTCGGAGAGATGGGCCCGGGTGCGATGATTGAAGAATTTCGTCGAAGGGGTTTTCGAATCTCGGTCAAGAGAGGGCCCGTTCCTGGAGTCGCTGCGAGCGGGGTCGGAGGGCGAGCCGAGCCTGCGGGCAGGGCGTGGGCCCCCGTCAGCGCGGGGAAGCACGGGGTGATCGAGTTCCCCGCGCGGCCGCGCCGCCGCCCGCCCTTGCTGCCGGCCAGGCACTCGGGGGCCCTGCGCGCTATAGTTGACCTGGCCGGGGGGGAAATCCCGCTCGGAATCGACGTTCGGGTTCGGAGGTCCCTGGCGAGGCGCGCGGCGGGCCGCCGCCACCCGCTGCGAGCCCGAGGAGTTCGAGCTGGACGGCGAGGCGCGGAGCTCATTTTTGAGGACGTTCGACAGGACCGCCAGGGGGCCGGAAGGTTGGTTGCTTGCTGCATACTCAGCTCTCGCCCCCCTCTCTTCGCCAGGCAAAGGGCCATGGGGCCGCCGCGGGGCGCCGGGAAAGGCAGGCCCTGCGAGGCCCGGCTCTGCGGCCTTCCGGGCTCGAGATCAGACGACGAGCAGCGCTGCGCAGTTGAGCCTCCGAAGCTCGAACACAGATGGCCCAGAAGGGCGGCGCGATGCAGGCCGAAGTCCGAGGGCCAAGGAGGGCGGCGAATGTCCTGGCGGCCATTCGCGAGAGCGAGGGCGAGGAGGTAGATGGCTGGGAGGAGACCCCAGAGGAGCTCCACAAGACAGACCTGTCGCTGGAGGAGATGTCGTCGCCGGTCAAGCCTTTTTTCTTGCTGGGGGTCGTCGTGCTCGCGACTGCAGGAGGAGGTCACGACGCCGGGCGTCTTGCTTCGATGGCGTCGTTGAGCTCCGATGTTGTCGCGCAGGAAGCGGCGACCTCGCGGCTTGCCGCGGCAGGCCCGACGAGCGCGCCCGCCCGCCGCGGGCGGCAAAGCAGGTCCCCAACGGGAGGAGCGCGCGCGCTCATTGTCGGATGTGCTCCGCGCGCCTGGCGCTGCGCGACGAGACCCCGATGGAGAAGGCCGAGGCAGCGGCCAAGAAGCGCGCGAGGGGGCCAGGGGGGGGCAGAAGATCGAGGCGGAGGGCGAGGTCAAGAAGCTCGCGGGCCAGCGCTCGGCGGGGGGGGCCCTGGATGGCAACGGGAGGTTCCTTTCGCGCCGCCTCGCTCCAAGGCGCCAGGAGCGACGCCGGGGTCTCGGGCGGGTCCAGGATTCCGGCCCAGACGGCAGTCATGGAGAGCGGGGCACCAGAGATCTGGCCGGGCACAGACGGTGGCGGAGGTTAGGCACCTCGTGAAGCAGAGGGTGGCGATGCTGGGGCCGTCTCATCTCCCTGCCGGATCCCCTCCCACGGCGTTCGGGAGTCCGCCGGCTCTGAGGCCGCCGCCAAGGGGCACGCCCAGGCCGACGGTTAAACGTGCGAAGCTCCGGTGACATAGCGAATCACGATTAGCTTTGGCCGATCCAACGCGTTTTTGCCCGAGCAGCTCGGCGGGAATGGGGCCCGCTCTTTTCTCGTCCCGCCCCCTGTTCTCCTTCGCACTTCGCGCCCGCAGCCGTGGCTGGCTAGGCCCCGCCGCAGCGCCGCAGCGGGCGCCCTCGATCATCGCTGGCGCCAGCAACGCCGCGCGCCCATCGCGGCGACTCAGCGGACCGTGGGGACCAACTTCAAGTAGATGGGTTATGATGTCAGTGCTGCAGCGGCTCGGCTCGATATCATGGAGGCGCGGATGGAGGCTTATGAGGGCGGCTCTGATGAGGCAATGGCCGACGCGCCCCAATATCCACAGCTCGCGGCCAGGCTTGCCACGCTGGAACCAAGTGTGGATAACGTCCAGGAGGCCATCAATATTCTCACGACCAAGCTCGAGGTCACCCGCTGCGCGTTCGAAAGCTGCCCCACTTCTGGCAGCGCCCCATTTCGACGGCAGCGGGTCGGCAGTCCATCCTCGTCGCGTTCGACGGCTGACGCGGCTTCTA